GTAAAAAGAATAAAGTAACTATTCCCGGTAATAAAATCTCTAAGTGTATCCTGAGTTCTCTCTCTCTTAATCAAGGTTGGTTGCAAATGTGGACCAGATTAGTTTTATGTTCTTCAAAAGCACTTCATTGATTATATAATATGATCACTTCCATGTTATATTTTTAGCTTTTCTCAGAAAAACAAACTTCCAAGAAAGAGCATTAGAAATCTACTGTAGAATGACATTAAGAGACGTGTCCTCCTTAACGTAGTTGCCTTGAAAAGTGCATGAAAGACAGTTTACTTTTAGACTGGGCGCAGTGACTCAACGTCTGTAATCCCAGCACTTTGGGAGGCCAAGGCAGGCGGATCACTTGAGGTCAGGAGTTCGAGACCAGCCTGGCCAACATGGTGAAACTCCATCTCTACTAAAAGTAGAAAAATTAGCCAGATGTGGTGCCAGGCACCTGTAATTTCAATTCTCGGGAGGCTGAGGCAGAAGAATCGCTTGAACCTGGGAGGTAGAGGTTGCCGTGAGCTGAGATCACACCATAGCACTCCTGCCTGAGCTACAAGAGAGAAACTGTCTCAGAAAAAAAAAAAAAAAAGACATTTTACTTTTAGAATTTAGTGTGAAGTAAAACACATTGTGAAAGTGTAACTTCTCTCCCATGTAGTATTCACTGCCCTGGAATTTACTATACTTTTTATTTTGCCGTGATCACTGGAAAAATCAGAACACTTATGCACAGTGGTAAGACTACCCTCAAGCTTTACACTTTTGTCTTCTCTTGGTGTCTCAGCAAAGGAAATAGAAAATTGGGACTCTAGGGGCTGGGCACCCTGGCTCACGCCTGCAATCCCAGCACTTTGGGAGGCTAAGGCGGGCAGATCACCTGAAGTCGGGAGTTCGAGACCAGCCTGACCAACATGTAGAAACCCCATCTCCACTAAAAATGCAAAATTAGCCGGGCGTGGTGGTGCATGCCTGTAATCTCAGCTCCTTGGGAGGCTGAGGCAGGAGAATCACTTGAACCCGAGAGGCGGAGGTTGCAGTGAGCCAAGATTGTGCCATTCCACTCCAGCCTGGGCAACAAGAGCGAAACTCCTTCTCAAAAAACAAAAGAAAAGAAAAGAAAAGAAAATTGGGACTGTTTTTATAACCCCACTTCTGTTAGTTTTAGGAAAGGCTATACCTAATACAGTAAATACACGAATGAACATATCCATGCTACCGTGTTGAAAGCAAGCATTTTCCCTGCCATTGTTTCTTTTGCACTCCATCATAGCCCCAGGAGAAAGTCAAGGCAACTGTCCAAATCACATTTGATCATTGCAGAAACTCAGGATCTGAAAAGCTAAAGACTTACCCTAGAAATTTGCAATGGTACATGGCAAAGGTCTTCAAATATTTTGTTAATGCTTGTTCCCCCACTGGCTAAAAAGGACTTGTTAACCACAGGAAAATGCACAAAATGAGTCCTTTTCATGACCACTCTGGAGCTGTTGGACTGTTATGTTCATATTCAGGATGTTGACATACAGTGAGGGACTGGACAACTGGCCCAGGGCACGTTCAGCCCTCTGACCAATGGTCTAGACGTGTACAGAGTCTGCATCAAAGGCACTGTTTGGGGACCTCATGCATGAATTATGAGTGACCCTGAATGATCAGGAAGCAAGTATATTCGCTGCACTGTCATGCATCCTCCTTAGGACAGTAACTCATCCTTGTCTGCTCATCCACATTTCCACTAAGCCTGGAGTGTCATAATTGTACAATAAATGTTTACTGAGATGCATTCACCAATGGTAGGAAATGCATTTATTATGGAAAATGGAAAAATGTTTGTACATGTAAACCTTCAACCTTTAACTATGAAATGTTACTTTATGGTGACATGTAAACTGAAAATCTGAAAAGCACAAGGCCTCCATAAAACTACAGTGGCCAAGACTATTTTATGTTTTGTAGAACCTCGCTCTGGCTTCTTCAGATAAACATCATTTTGTCAACAATGAACCCATGGTTTGTAGGTTAAACTTTGTGGGTAGCAAGATTGAGGTGAGATACTCTCCTGCTTGGGCAGAACATTCCTGAAAGACGGATACTTGTTTTTATTTCCCAATCAAGTAAAGTCATCAAAAGAAAGGAGAACTCTTTTTGAGCATTTACCACTTGCTACATTGCTTCCTGTGTACATTGTTTCCTTTAATCCATCTAACAACCCTAAAAACCAGCATGTGACTTTCTTATTTTGGATAATGGAACTGAGGCTGAGAAACCTTCAGTAACTTTTTCAATTTCGTTTTCTCCAAACCCATACCATTTTAATTCTATAGAAAAGTAGCAGGGCGTTTACACTACCATTAAACGTAACAGCATCTAAGAAAGATTTATGTTTGTTTTTCATTAATTACTGAAACAAAAAATGCAGGATTCCCTTTCAAAGACGTGTTCTGAGAGATGATATGTGTAAACACATACCTGTCTTTATTGGAGGAAAGATAATTTCTTGATCAACTCCATTTCTATTATTCTCGTGTCTGACGATACATCTGTGCTCTTTATCCAGTGACTTTTCTGGCACAGTTAACCAGCTAAATTTCATGTATGTGTTGTTAGTCTTCATGGTGTTCCCCTCTTGGGATTTCAGAACCTGGTTGCTGTTCTTTTCTTGCCAACGTATCTCAATAACATCTGGGAAAAATTTCTCAAGAAGACAAAGGTATGTTCCAGCCTTGTGGAGGTTTGTTTCAGCAATGGAAGGAAGAAAAATAGTGGGCTTGGGTGAAACATCTGCATCAAGGTGTTTATCTATGGGGAGAAATGGAATATGAATTTAAAAGAATCATGAGAGAAACACACACATTGCACGGTTTGGAATGGCCTAGTACATAACAATAAAAAGAGACGGTGCCGTTGAGCTAGTGTCCACCGGGGCCTTTCATTCAGGATAGGCTGCACAGTACTTATTACTGTGCTTCTTTTATAGATGTTGAAAAGAGGATCAAGAAATTAAATAACTTGCCAAAAGTCACAGCTCTTAAGTGTCAGATGCTGGATGAAAACCTGGCCTTTGTTTATTCTGCACATGCTGTGAGGGTGTGTGGTTTTTAACTGCCTCCTACCAAGGCTTCCAATGTTCATGAACATATTTATTTTATTTTTATCTCTTTTGTTTCATCATATGAAGCATGTTTTCAAGGTGGATGGCAGGGGAAAGGGGAAAAAGATCAGATAACTTCAATGATCTTTCTACAGATGAGACTCTGGTCCTTTTCCCACTTCCCTTTTCCATCCTTTGTAACTTATGTTCTTTGGCCAAATAACACACATTCTCACGTTTCACAATTTTGTGTCCTCCCACTCTTCATTTCACTGATTCTGCGATGCACCATATTTATTTGATTTTTTATCTTATTTTCTTATTTCCCATATGAATAAATGTCAGAATTTTAAAATATTATTATTTATCTTATTTCCCATATGAACAAATGTCAGAATTTTTTTTGTTTGTGTG